TTCTCAAGTTATAACCCTCATCAAGCTTGGCATCTTCAATCTTTCAAATAATAAGCCAGGTACCCCATTTGAGGTGCTTTTTCTTGCTCACAAAGTCTATCATTTGTGCAATTAACTAGCTAGGCTAAGCTAGTTTATTATATACCATTCTCCCATACCATTTTCTTGTTGTGATCAAATGTACATGAGAGAGTGGGGAGAGCAGTAAAGAAAAGAATGCTCATGTGGGTTGGTTAATTAATGTATTGTGTAGAAAATAAGACCGTCTTATGTGTAAATAGGTGTAAATTTTAAATTATATTTTTTTTTTCCAAAACCGAACCGCAACCGTTTGAAACCGCACCGAACTAAACCAAACATTTTGATTTCATTTCGGTTTTGGTTTCAAAACCGCACCGAACCACAGCGCAAAAAGTTTCGGTTCAGTTACGGTTTCATTCAAAACCGCACCGAACTAAACCATGCCCACCCCTATATACAACAAGAACGTAGCTTCTCGGTTTGGACAATGCAATTCCATCACTGAATTGTTTGGTTTTGCAATAGTGTCGTTGCAAAGTTCGCAGCTAAAAGGATCAAGGGGGCACTGAGTGATTATTTGCACCTTCACTCCATCTACAACAACTCCTGCAATATCCAAGCCAAAAAACACAAAATATGTTAGCTAGTTGTTTGTCTTAATATACGAAAAAAATAAAATTGCTTGGCGGTGCAACTCTTTTTTCAACTCTGTCGTAGTGTCACGTGAAGTTTTGTGAAAACAACGTGAAGTTCATGTGAATAAGTTGAGAAAACAGTAGGTTTTTGTAGCATCGGGGCGGACAAAAAGGGCTAGTAAACTAGTGGTGAGAGAGAAAATGAAGAGTACTCTATAACAAATGTATGTACTTGGGCATGCAACAAGAAGGATATCCTACGGATTGTGCTTCTTGTCATCTTAGCCGTCAACGAGGTTGGGAGAGGGGAAATCGAACCTAGAATTTAGATTTTAGGAAAAATTGATCTTAATCACTTGAGCTACAAATCTCTTGCACATACTTAAATAATTTACGTTTAAGCTAATATACTATATCCATTCACCAAATTAGGAACTAGATGTTGGAACCCTATTGGACTCTAAACCTATCACGGGGTTTAAGTTTAGTGGAAGCTTAAATCAGTTAGAGTTAATATATGAATAAATATTATTTCCTTTAAGGTAGGACTATAAGGATAAAGGTAGAGAGTGCATATCCCACGTTGAAAATCAAATGAACGTGGGGTTTAATCAAACTGTTTCCATGATAGGAGGAAATGGTTGAGATTACACATCTATAAAGGTTCAGTCCCTGCTCAATGGGAAATGCACGTTCTTATTCAGTAAACTAGCCATATTTTAGTGAAAACATAAGGTCCCCATTGAGTAGAAGACTTACCTCTGCGAACTCTGTTGCAATGGCTTCTTCAGGTTTGATTTACACTTTGCTTCTAGTTAATATTGTAATCTATGTGAAGATAAACTATTAAAATTCCAACACTAGATTGCATAGATGATCTTTCCATTAAGATGAGCAGAAAGTTAATTACCTTACTAATTACTAGTATAAATTATCTTTCAGTCACAAACGGTGTAATTTTTTTAATGAAAAGATGATAATGGATTAGGCGAGTCGAACTACACACAAGACTTGGTAGTCGGACTACAATAGTAGCTTTACACTCTAAACCCGCACAAGGCTATAAGAAAGAACCAAGACCCTAAGAATAGCCATCAACTACAAAGTGGACTACTTTCTTCTTGCACAGAGCGATTAGAAAAAGCTAACTTCCGATAGAACGACCCCCGGTCCCCTATCTTTGAAATTTATTAAATAAGCACGAAGATAAAGCCAGTGTGATTATTAACAACAACTCCTTTCCCTTTACATTGTTTTATTACAAATTTCCAGTATTATTGTTGTGTCTGTCTGTCTCCCTAACGGCTGCAGCAACAACGTAGCTTCCCCGTTTGAACAATGCAATTCCCGTCCCTGAATCGTCTGCCCTTGCACGCTGCAAAACACTCGGCATCTCCAAATGTGTCTGAGCAGAGATCGTAGCAATAAGGATCAAGGGGCACTGAGTGATCATCCTTTGGCACCTTCACTTCATCTGCTATAACTTCTGCAATATTATACATTCAAACACAAAACCAATTTCATCTGTTAATTAATTATCTAGTTTATTGTTCCTTTTTTTACAAGAAAAAAAAATATCTGTTCATAAAATGCAACTCTTTTCATAACTTTTTCGCATGATGCTTCAGAAAAACGAAGTGAAATCCATGCGAAAATGTTGAGAAAATAATTAGGGTTTTGTAGCATCGTTCGGAAATCTGGTAGAGAGAGAGTGAAAATGTACTTGAGGTTACTAAAGCAGCAGATATTGCCATGGAAGCAAGGAAAAATGTAAGGAGCTTTTGGGATTTCATCTTTGGAATCTCTTGTCCTTGAGAAACATTTCTAGATGCATGGTAGGATTGAAGAACATTGGTTTATATAGATGGAGTAAAGTGCACAAACGAGATTTCATAGTTTTACCAACCATATTCTTCAGATGTCAACTTTTAATGAACATTCGTCTACTATGTTGACATTAATTTTCATTAAAGTTAATATATTAATGTCAATATAGTAGACGAAGTTTACATGTAACATAGATGATTTTTCCACTAATCCCTTATTAGAAAGTAGATTATACTAAGTTTTCTTCTATTTTCTCTATATATTATTTGATATTGGTATCTTTTGACTCAAAAAACACAAAATTTATGTCATATATCCGTGTTAGCAATGATGCAGCTACCGTTAACTTGTTTGTTCCCTTTATTGGCATTGCCGGGAATATTTTTGTTCACCACCTTCAAGTGATTGTGATACTTACCACCCTATTTATTACTATTGAATAAGTGTAAATTTTGATTTGTATAGTGAATAGACACAAATCTTAATATTTAAACTCATGTAATGGTAATAAGTAGAGTGGTAAACATTACCACCACTTAAGAATGGTGAGGAAAACGCACATGGCATTGCCACCGATCATAGCGCACGATTTCGACTTCCATGTCCAAAATTATGAATTTGCTTGTAAAGTTTGTGCTCTATGAGCAGTTTTCTAGCAGTTTACACACTCATCAGCTACGACTTTGAGATATTATGAGCAAAAATTCGTTGGCTTACGTACCAATTACTTTTTTAATTTGTTTGTTAATTAGTCATAAGGAGCACGATTAGTACAATAAAGTTGGTGACATGAACGATGATGGACTTGAGTAAGAAATCTTGTTGTGGATGTTAACAAATTAGTCTTGTTTCTGACGAGAAAATGCTTTCGAATCCATATCTTTCTTGTACACAATTTAATTAATATGTTACAACTAAGATGATGATCTTACCCGAATTTAATTAGTAGTAATTGAATGCATGATTAAGGAACTAGATGGGTCATATTAATATTTTATTTGAAATCTATCCATACCATAAGATTAAAAATATTTAAATCTTAGTACAATGAAATATAAATTCATTCCTGGATTTCGATTATTAGGATTACCTTCTTATTTGTTTCAAAATTAGGTCTTTATAAATACACAAATTGTAACTCGGTACGAACCAAAAATCTTAACAAGATATAACTTATTAGTTATGCAACCTTCTTGACAATTTGTCGTTTATCAAAGTTTTACAATTAATTTTTTTCTTCTTTTCTTTTTCTTTGATTAATTTGTTAATGAAAATAACTTGGAAAATTGAAAGTGATCCAGAAAATGGATGGATGTGGGCAAAGAAATGGTGATTTTGTAATTTATTTGAAGAAATCAAAGCTCAAACAGATTTACAAGGTGCTAAGCTTCATGTGGCCAATCCATAGGCCCTTGTTGATGTGGCATGTAGTTTATTTTTCCAAATCATTTGGTTATGTGGTGTTATTATTCTACTCAAATGATAACACTTGTATATTTTCTAATTAATATGCCTTAGAAAATAACATATCATTTTCGTAGTCCACCCCTGTTATAACATGTGCATTGTAACATTACGTGACAATGTTCCTCTGCACACAAACATTTCCAAAGTTTTCATCTACAACTTATACAGATGAGCAGGAAATTAGTTGGCTCACAAATTACTTTTGTAATATAATCGTGTTCTAGATGATGGGATTCGGTAAGAATGCTTCCCTTTGTACGTACTAGAAGTTACTAAAACGGCAGATATAGCATGGCTGCCAAGAAAGCAAAAGAACTTTTGGGATTTCATTTTATGATTGTAGAAAGATTGGATGCAATGTGAAAATTGAATTTGTAATCTGGATTTGACTGCAAATTAATCGATCATTTCGACATTAACCGAACAAGTTGACAAATTGATAATTGTAATACAAGGACACAAATCTTATCTTGGAAAGATATATAATCATCAAAAGATAAAAGATTTATAATCATCAAAAGATAAAAGATTTATAATTATCAAAAGATAAACCATTTAGAAGGTGGCTTCAAGTTAATTTTCATATGATATTATCCAGAGTTACATATTTATTGTCTTCTAAGTTCATTGTAGATATAATTGATAGAATATTAAATAAAATTCTTAGTTCTTGGTTTACCAAGCTGTTTGTAGTATTTGTGGGAAGGAGAATAAGTTTTATACTAAAAAATGGGAAGAAAAGAAATCAATTAGTAGAAAGTATCCAGTTTTTGAGTTTCAATGACGATTTTTAACCTTTCCCCGACAAATTAGAATGTCTTGCGACGATTTTCCTATATTTAATGACCATTTTATGGTTTCCAACGCTTCGAAGACCTTTAGCAACCAAATATTCGCCGGTAACCGCAGCTAAAGATGTTTTAAGCAACGAAAACAAATCCTCGCGAAAAGCCTAGACCTTTAGCCACAATAAAAATTTTGTCGCTAACCGCTACTAAATATATTTAAAGCGACGGATTAAAAACCCTCGCTAAAAGTCGGAGAAGAAAAAACGCCTTCTCCCCCGGCTGTTTAAACAATGATTGTTTGCTTCAAAACGTAACTCAACCAACATCCTCTCATCACCCTCACTCTAGTTGTTTGTGTTACAGAATTTACATGAAAATATTGTTCAAAATTACTCTCTAAGCAATTCCCTTGGGTTTTTTTTTTATGATAATCTCGTGCTGCCGTGAAGCCTGCAGATCCCCAGTGTTTGTAGCCTGCAAATTCACACAGCCAAAGCACCATTAAAAAGCACATTACTAAACTCAAAACTCCAAAATCACGCATTTACTAAACAAGATCACTATTTTCCCTTTTTCCTACTACCATAGACTGTCGACGACGAATGCAATTGCTATTTTATGAGGTCCAAAACAATCGCTACTATTTAGTTGTTCATCGGGGCCAACATTCCACTTTCCTGTATTACTGTTCTAATTGCTTACCCGACCTTCTTGCATTCTTCTACTGGACCATAAAATTCCATTCATTTAGGCAGTAGCAGTAGGAATCGGATATATGAATTATTTTCAGAACCTCCAACTTTAATTTTCAAATTCAACTTCATTGAGTTGAATAACTAAACTATTCTAACAATACGACTGATGTTTGAACCAAACTCAATTAGCAACTACACAATCGCAGTTCAGAAAATAAAATTTAATCAAAAATAGTTTTATAGAATGTGATCAAAGAGGATTACCTTAGATTTCAACCGGGATTTTTCCATGCGATTGAAACAGTTTGAGGATCAAGCTTGTACGAATATAGCTGACCCTTGTGTTCTTTTATCCTTGACATTCTCGAGTCAATGTAAAAGCTCAACGTACAAAGTCAGTCTTGCTCCGCTGCAATTCCAGATATGCATTCATGAATAAATTTAAACATGCAGGGGCAACTTATGGACATCAATTGCATTTTAACATACCTTAGAGGTTCAAAAGGAAGCCAAATTACACCCCAGCAGAACCACCTTGGCAATCTGCACAAGTATCATATTTATTTTTCAAAACTATTTTGCACCTTAAACATACAGCGCAGTTCACAACGGGAGAGAAACTCAAGAACAAGGGATGATGAGAACATATTGAACACAAATCGGAAAATAAAAACGCAGGTACACCCATGCTACAACACAAAAATTGAATTGCATTTTTTTTTTTTGTCACACTGAATTGCATTTTATGTTCCGTCTTTGCACAAGTCAAATGAATGTAGGGCCACTATCTCAGGGAATGAATGAAGGATATATATACACACACACATATATATAGGGAAATGAGGTCTTTTAATGTTTTACATTAATTTCGTTTTTAAGTTTCCAAGTTGTGAATATTCTTGTACAAGACTGGTTTTGTAATAAAGAACAAAAAAAATTAAAATACAGGTTATAGAAATTAAAGGAGAACTAACTCATGTTAGAATGTGTGAGTTTGAGAAGTAAACATACCTCAACATGTAATACAACCAGAAACCGTGAGTACGATGCCAGTAAAGGGTGAGTATCAAATCCATCACCGGTGATACTTTGAATCATGAAGTAATCCTATGATTGCTGATGAACATGCTACAACAGCTGGCCAATCTGTTAAGATTTAGTTACTTAATTATCTCATCTCAAAATAATGGTAAAGACGGCCATCCAAGAAGGCACATCATGCTAAGCTTACTTCCCAAGAAGACACATCATGATAAGCTTACTTCCCTCAACAGCGGACAATTATGGATAAAGTTTAAAATCCAATGATTATACAGTGAGTAATATACATATTCGACACTAGTCCAAACAGGTACATCTCACATACAGACTTTCAAAAGAATCAACAAGAAGAACATATATTCTAGAGTTAATCTCAGTTTACTACTCTGAAGTTTCTTGGTTTTCTACATTTCATATATCAAGTTTTTTTCGTCCCAGTCTGGTAAAGTCATAATTTTAGGACACTTTCATACATCCGTTAAGTTTTCCGTCACAACCTCAGTTAAATGATGACGTGGCACCCATGTGGACAATAACTGGGCACCACGTGTCAATATGAGCCCACGTGGAAATTAAAAATTTTAAAATAAATAAAAAACCAACCTCTCCCAAAATTAAGAACTTTACTGATGTTAAGTATGAAAGTGTCCCAAAATTAAGAACTTTACTAATGATAAGTATCGGAAAGTCACCTGCAGATATAATCATCCATGAGTGCACCTCCTCCATGAAGTAAGCATGATAACGCTGTTGATCAACAACAAATTTTGAGTAAACATGTATATGTGTGTGTGTGTGTGTATATTCTTACGAAAAACATAGCCACAAAATCACATACACAAGTAGTTGCCCATCCAACTCTGTGGCGTTAAACAATCTTGTTAACGATATTAGAGCGACAACAAACCGCGAAAAAATCTTCAATCTTTACGAAAGAAAGGGAAATACGACATGCCTCAAATGTCCGAGGTTCCATAAACAACCAAAATGCACTCAACTCACAACTTATTTCTAATCCTTTCAACAATAACGAGCCCTACCGAGTGAAATTTTCCAACTTGATGTTAAAAACGGTATCGTTACTATAAGTAATTGAAAATATCACATAATTACTTGTTGTATTAAGTCACATTGTTAATGATAAATTTTACTAAATACACATCCTAATTGAAACCCAATGACTAAACCAACTGTAATCGAAAGAAGATGCCCATCGTCATGCATATAGTGCTATAAACATAGAAAAATAGGAAATTCAACAACCCAGTAAGCAGAACCCGTTAAATTTTACCAATTTATAATTTCTCAGCAGCCAAACGCATATATATATGTGTGTGTATATATGTGTGTATGTATACACAGATAGAGAGAGAGAGAGGGACCTCGATTATCCATGGGGCGAGAATCGTTGAGAGCGGGATCGTCGCAAGTAGAAAGAGAGAACTCGGCGTCCTGTGAATTTCTTAATTTTCTGCTCAGCTTCCTCATTGCTCACAGTTTTTTTCTTTTCTGTTTGGCCTTCGAGAAAGTGGAAAGGAAAAATTGGGGAATTTTCTCGCCCGAAATTGTGAGTTCTAATATTGGACGGCGGATCAAGTGGGTTTTGTTTTCTCCTGTTATGTGTGGCCGTAGGATGGGTCGAAGCGAAATTCCACACTAGGGGGAATTTGTAAAATATACTATGGATAACTAATATAAAATAAACACGTTAATCAATAATTAAGAAATAATTCAATCATCGATAACCACTTTATATAGTTTATAAAACCTGATCTAAAAAGTTGTAATAAACGTAACTTATATTCTACTGAAAAACAGGTGGAAAAAATTCCACTAAACCAAATGTCAAGATACCAGACAGACGAGCCAACATTCCACAATTAACCACACTGGTATTGTTCTCAACTTGTAATTACAACTTACCACATGCACAACACAACAAGTGTTTAGATTTTATCACATAAGATGTCGGTGTAATTAGAAGTGAAACCATACAGTATAAGTCGTCGTTAATTTTGTTAATTTTGTCAATTTTCCAATGTGAAACCTTAGTATTATGCAACGCCAAAATACACTAGAGATTAAATATGATCGCGCTCCTGCATAATTTTAGTTAGTCATGTATTGTATTGAGATAGCATGAAAATTTCCTTCCCCTTAAGTTGCCAAGAAGAATACAGTGTTTCCTTGTATTTCAATGTTACTTGTAATATACGTAACTTATATTTTACTTTAGAAGGGATGCATGTATCCTTGTTTAGAAATAATATATTTGTAAAATTTGCACTTAAAAGAAGGAACGGGATCCTTTTCGAATCCGAACCATCTGGATTATGTAGACCAAAATATCTTAACCGTTTACGTAAATTGTGCGACTAAAATCACTTTTCTCTTCAACTTTCTCAATTTTTCTCACGCTCCTCAACATCGTTGCCTTCTTCTCTGGCGGCATCAATGAACCAAAACCACAAAGAAAGAAAGAAGAAAAAGAAAATAGGAGGGGTTGAAGGTTGGAGAAATATACAGTCGGAATTGGGGTGGAAGTGGAGGTGATGGTGAGTGATGGTAGGGACGTCCGCATGTGAAAAAACCTAACGAATAATTATGAGAAAACCTAACAAATAGTTATGAATATTGTGACATGACATAGACAAGCCGATGAAAAGCCTTTCAAGTGAGCTAGGTGCGCTCAAGTGGGAGAAGAAGGGTGATGTAACAAATTAGAAGTAGAATAAGTTCAAAGTTCAACAATCTTATGTTGGAATTTAACCCCTTTGACTTTACATGATTGCAACTTCAGAAGGAATGGGTATAAAAGATCAACGGAATGATTGATACAAGCACTTGTACAGAAAGCACTTGTACAAAATCAAAAGTTCATACCACAGAAAGACCCACTTACCCTTCATTGCATTTTTTTACAGCTTTGAGCTTTTTACTTTTACCATCGCATGAATCTCCCACTTTCTTACTCCACTCTCTACACCCCAAGTTATTGGGTTCTTTTTCTTACTCTGCATGTGAAGATCTGATGCCACTTCTAACTACAGTGCTTTGGCAAGTGGGTAAAGGTCAGTTAATCAAAGCAGTGCGTTCGTCTTTTTAACCTAATTTAAACTGTTTTTTTTTTTTCGTAAATTATGGTATTTTTCGACTCACTTACCGACATAGCCATTTCTTATATGTAACTTAATGATGGATCCATGATCCAAGATTATGCAAAACCATATTTTGATATGTTTGTTTGGAGTGGTCCCTATCATTGGTTAGATATACAAGGTTCAATCTATTAATAAAATTGGACCAAGGAGGGGCTTACAAATAGTGTTTAATTATTGGATAAAAATCATAAATATCAACTTTTAATAATGTTAAGACCATGAAGATTCAGTGTTATTGTTGACCTTGTCCAAAGAGTACTCCTTGCTGGTCCAATTATAAGAAAGATTTTCAGTATGCCGGAAATATGATTCAGTATACTAAATATCATTATATCATGTTCTCTATCTCTACATATTTAAAAAATCTCTCCAATTATCAATGCACGATGTATGAACTAGGAATTATTGTTATGTTTTAATCCAACAAAAGCAAAAAACTAGGATTGTAATTTTATTTTTATTTTGAACAAACAAAATTATACAATAAGAGATGGGGGAGTGGGCTAAGCCTCACAATGAGCTATCAATAATGTGGTTCAAATTCGCCTTTGGTGAAACTCGAACTTAAAACCTCTTACTTATAAACTTACAATTAAAGAAAAATATCACTAGCCCATAATACTAAATTACAATGATTGAATCCAAGACGCAGTGATTGAAAAGAAAAACCCTAACTATCAAAGTAATTCACGGACTTGTAATTTTGTAGTTTGATAAAGTATTATTGTATTGATTGATAAAGTATCGTAGAAGGTAGGAATGTCATTTGTCACATAGTTATGTAATTCAAAGTGGTGACCACATGGAGATGATAGTGTGTCCCTTCTTATTTGGGACTGCTACTCCTAGCTTTTTAGTGTACAACTAGGCCTAGCTTTTCTTTTGGTACAAATAGACTTGATTCGAACTTTGTAGGTTTACACGTATCGGAATAGGATTCTCTTATCTTTTAATTTTCTTATTTTTCTCTTTTCTTCTTATATTTTTCTTTTTGTTTTTCTTTTCATAAAAAAAATCAACATAAAATATTAACATGATTTAATCGTAACTATTTATAAAAAAAGTCAACATAAAATGAATGTGATGGAGATTAGGAGACGAGAGAATCATACTCCTTCTTATACGAGTTTCCAAACAAGGCCGTAGTTTCCATTGTCATTACAATCTAGTTGTATTCTTCTGCACTGATGAGAGGTCTAAATTCAACTTGCATAAATAGCAATTTCAATACGATATTATTATTAATCGATAACTATTGTGTGGTTTAATCGAATCTTCACCCCAATATCGTTATACAAAAAAGAAAAGGACTCTTATTGGTATATTTTCCAAAAAGGATTAAAGAGGCAGACCAAAAGACTAATCCCAACAACAACAAAAATGGGTAATAATCTTGCATGGGTTGCTTTTCTCCAAAACTTTTATGGCTTGCTTGTCTCTTATCCTTCTTTTTTTTAAGTACAATATCTTGTAAACCCCACATATCCATGCACCCTCCTCAATCAACTCATACGGTCCTACCCAAAGGCCATGCTTATTTTGCCCTAATTAACAACTTCCCTTTCTAAAGAGATTTTTTAATGTACTCAGAATATAACTATATAAGGCGGCATGTTATATGTTGTTATGTAAGTGGAGGAATTTTTTTTTTTTTTCAAGTGCCCCTTCACTTATATGATGACATAAGATGTATGTGGTATGTGCCATTAATCTGGACACACTAGAAAATCTCTTCGCTGTCCATCCTTATAGTGAACCCCAAAAAAAAAAATTCTCCATATAAAATTTTAAAAGGAATAAAGTATATCAGAGTCTAGCCGAATTGACTAAAATAGTGTGTTTTTCATAAGTTAATGTAAATTATCGCTTGAATAAGAAGAAAAAATTTGAAAACATAAAAATCTAAATTGGGCTTGGTAAGGCCCAATAAGTACAAGAGCAACGAACAAGATAATCAAATAATTTGGGGTTGATTTAACAAAACTATAGACAAGTACACGTGAAGGCCACGTCTTTATATATCCCCATAAAGTACGTATTGACAAATCTTACTCATAATTTTTGCTGTCCATATTCCCCCACACGCAGAGCCAAGCACGTGGTATGCACTTTCGAAACTCACATTTAAGGTTAGTAGTAAAGGAATTTTAACGAAAAACTTATTGTACTATTTACTTTAACGAAAAATCATATTTTTATACTAAAAATTCAATCACGGTACTATTTACTTTACCTTTTATTTTGTCTTTATCGTTAAAGCTCAAAGTTTTTAAACCATTTTCATTAATTTTCCTTAGTATTAATACATAAAATTGTTATTGCACTCTTAAAATCTAATTATATACTTTAAATTTTTTATATTTAATAATAAAAAAATGTTAAATTTTAAGCATAAATTTTAAATTTGAAGGCTTTTGTGGCTGTTTGGACCCAAATTTACATCATCGGCCCGTGTAATCGAGACCGTAGAGTAAACATAGTTCTCAGCCGTCGGATGGAAAAGTGAAAATATTTTTGTTAAAAGATAATATTATGGTTTTTATCATGATTATCTTTTAATTTGAATTATCTTGACATATTCTTAAACGGGATGGATATGATGCAAATTATATCCTCAAGTAAGAGTGTTTGGGCTCAAATTAACATGTTGGGCCGAGTATAGAACCACTCTCGGCCCGGGAGGCCTGGCGACAGGGGAGCCTTGGATCATTTAGTACGTGGGCTCCTAAACCCAGGTCGGCTAGGTCATATTACATTTACTAGTCGAGTCCTAACGCGATAAGTAGTCTCGGCAAGGGTAAAAACCCGGAAGTGAATCCGGCTCAATAGAGGACTAGGCTCACAATCCTAGTAAACATAGGACTGGTCGAGTGGGTGTTTGATCCGGAGAAGAAGACCTAGTTCGAGTAGGGTTTTGACTCGACTTCAAAGGTATCTAGTGCTATAAATAGAGGAGGCTGTGCATCATTCAAGAGGACCTCCAACCCCCACAAAAATCAATACAAAATTGCCCTGCGCAAACTCTCACAACTTGAGATCTTTTTCTTTTCCTTTTTCGCTGACACATCTTCCGTTGGCATCAACAGCACTGTGGAAGCAACCGGTGATATCTTAAGTCGGCATAGATAGCTCTGTCACCGTAGAGTCGGTCGGTCTCGCAGTATCTTCCGTTGGCATCAACAGCACTGCGGCGAGAACGGTCGATTGCCTATCCAAGTCTCGGTCGAGAAGGGTTTTCGAATCCTTGTTGGTCGAGGTCATCTCATTAGCCTTCTCGGCGAGGTGAGGTGTTACAGTTATTACATTCGGCACATTGTAAGCCGAATTCGGTTCGTGAACTTTGTAAGAAATAGCAGCCTTGTCTTCAGGCTCGAGAACCCAAGAGGCCGAGACGCGTTCCTTTCTCGGCCGCA